TAAATATGAAAAATGGTAGCTCTCGGAAATAGTGTGAGGTTGAATGAGAGAGAGAGAGAGTGTGTGTGTGTGTGAGAGAGAGAGAGAGAGAGAGAGAGAGAGAGAGTGTGTGTGTGTGTTACCGTTGTGGCTGGACTCTGGTGTGATTGGTCTGTACTCCTCAAAATCAGCTTTGGAGTCCTCGTTCTCATTACTGTCCACCTCCAGGAGCTTGGCTCTCATCGACAGACTGACATACACACAAACTCAGACTTCAGATTCAATCGTTTCACACACAAACGCGCTGATATACACCCGTACCCGTCCCGTACCTGTTCTCCTGCGCACTCAGACGGAGGATCTTTGGACTCTTGGGGCTTTTGGGGCTCAGATGAGGAGCGAATCTCCTCTCGCCGTTGGTCTGCTTGAGAGGAAGAGACTCCAGCGGCCAAACAGAGCTCCACTTACTCTCACTGGGACTCACTGAGACACACAGCAGAGAGAGACAACAAACATCTGAGACACAACAGCGCCACCATGTGCTGACAAACACACTTTCATCACGATGAAAACTGATTCTTCATTGCATTCCCATATATACCATTATAAACCCTGAAATACTAATACCAATAATAATTTTTGTATTCCATAATTCCAGTTGTAACAGTGTCACCATATGCAATTTATTGCAATGTCACTTCTATGCATTTTATTTTTCTGCCAGATATGACTTCCTAGGTTCTTTTATATCTTCCTCTTAATTCTGTATCTGTTTACGGTGTTTCGATTGTATTTGAAAGCTGACTTTGTGTTTTGTAATGCATATATGGAAGAATAAGCGAAGGAATGAGATATCCAGACAGACTCACGCTGTATCGCTCGGAAGCGCGGACCGATGGACGGCGAGCCCTGATCCGGAGAGTTACGCCTCTTCTCCAAACACGGAGACGCCTGGACCGTGATCTTATGGATAAAATCTACAGGGCAAAAAATAAACAATATGTACAATCAGATCAAGACAAACATGTACATTCAACACTAGGCAAGAAAACATCTTCAACGCACTACAGACAAAACCATTGAGATTTGCTTCCATAAAATGTCTCCTTTCAGACTAGTGGATGCAATTTTAATTGTTTGGTTTATGGCACTTTATCTATTTGCGTCTGTAGATTTCAGTTCCAATAGATATCTTTAAAAGTTTTTCCTCCTCTTCAACAGCACTTATAGACATCAAAACTTCTGAAGGATTTTACTGAGGGGTTTGTTCATATTTCATTTGCCTGGTTTTATTTTGACACTTTATTTGCATCTATAGATTTCAATAACAGTACATATCTTTAAAGGCGTTTTTCTCAAAATGAGTTTGTTTCTCCACTTCAGCGGCACTCACACACACCAAAACTTAGAGATGTATTCCTCTCTATATTCTGAAGGATTTTACTGAGGGGTTTGTTGATATATCACTCACATGAGTTTTTATAACATTTTATTCTTAAAAACAGGGTGAAAATGAATTCGTTTTCTGTCTGTTGACAGTATTTTCTGATTTATGGAGTGATAAAAACAGAAATCCAAAATCCCCTCTATAAAAACATCTAATTCTAATATGACAACAAAATCAAACAAAAATGAGGAGTCTGGCTTTAGATTTATGTTCTGGACATTTCTGCAAATTAGTGCATATTTAATGAAATAATGCATCAAATTTAAACATAACATTTCAGAAATATAACAACTGTCTTATCGCACAGTAATTAATAACAACAGTATAATTATGTTGATATCTCTTAGTAATTTGTTTAACCCATTCACCTTTAGTGTCTCGCTTTAACAGTGAAACCACTGTTGGGTGCAGTGTGGTTAATTATTACTAACGATGTGAAGAAATGTGTGTGTTCTCTGTGTTCTATTACACGTTAACTTCTTTCCATTCTAGAGTCATAACAGCTAATTACTGAACGACTGCAGCTCATTAACGTCTTTAACAAAGTGCATGTAATAATTCGAGAGCACTGTGGATCGTCAGCTTTACATAACGACCTCAAACACGCTGATCGTAACAGATTATGTGGTTATTAGTGAGGACAAACTGAAGGAACGACCCAAACCATATCTACAGATCAGAATATCACACAGAGCACCCTAGTAACTGCACGGCAACACCCTAGCAACGCCCTGGCAACACAAAATCAATTAAAAATAATAAAGTTTTAGCAACCGCATAGCAATCCACTAAAAGCTAGTAGAAATATCTTATCAAGCCACTAGAAGGCGTGTGTGTGTGACGTGAAGCCTCACCCTGCGGCATGCTGATCTTCTCTCCGTTCTTCACCTTCAGCTTGTGCTTCTTGAAGGTTCCCTTGCGCTTCTTGACATTAGGTTTCTGGTTCTGGTTGAGGTGTAGGATGAGCAGTGATAGCTCGCGCTCGAACACGTCTTGCTCCCACTGCGCTAACTGCTGCTCGCGCTGACGCAGGAACTCCTCGTGAGACTTCTGCTCCAGCGCCGCACGCTTCAGCTCCTCCTCACGACACCGCAGCTCCTGCACACACACACAAACATCAGCACACTTAGGGTTAAAAATGTTTACTGTCAGAACTTGTGTAGATCAGCGGTTCTCAACCTTTTGGACTCGGAGTTAACTATCGTTAACTAAACCTAAAATCATTCAAATACAAATATATATAATAAAAACTTAAATATATATATATATATATACACACACTACTGCTCAAAAAATTTGGGATCAGTAAGACTTGTAATGTTTTTTAAAGAAGTGTCTTCTGCTCATCAAGGCTGCATTTATTTGATCAAAAATACAGAAAAAAAAATGTTAATCTTGCAAAAAGTTATTACAATATAAAATGTTTTATTTTTTAATATACTTTAAAATATAATTTATTTCTGTGATGCAGCGCTGAATTTCCATCATCATTACTCCAGTATAAAGTGTCACATGATTCTCCAGAAATCATTCTAATATGCTGATCGATATGCTATGCGATGGCGCCGCAGACGGCAGCCTCAGTGTTGGGCTCTCCAGTGTTTGCACTGTTTTTGTTAGTTTTTCCTGTTTTTTGTTTCTCAAACACGGATCAGTTTTACCAGGGATGAGCTGCTGAACATTCGGCAGAACACACCACACAATCTTCTACCGGATTTCGTTTATTCTGACGTTTTGCTGAACGTTGTAGTCGGCGGAGCAGCGGTGCTGATCAAGCGCTTCAGGACGCGCAGACGGGGGAAGAGAGGAAGCTCAGGAAGCGCGGATTCAGAACGGCGCTGCCGAGCATCCATCAACAAAACGCTAAGACCAGAGGTGGAAAGTAACGAATTACATTTACTCGCGTTACTGTAATTGAGTAGCTTTTTTGTGTACTTCTACGTTTTAAAGTCATTTTTAAAATCTGTAATTTTACTTTTACTTAAGTATATTTTGTTTGAAGTATTGTACTTCGCTACATTTTAAAACATTTCTTCCTCCAAAAATCAGCATGATTGCATATAGATTTTATTACAACAGTTCAATAAACAAGACGTTAATTAAGAGATTTTAGACACTATATTGCCTGTTTTTGCTCTATTTCTCCAACAAAAAGAATTCCAAACACAGCCATAGCACAGTTTTGCGTCTCTGAGCAACATGATGGTGTTTCGTTCCTGAATGAATCAAGCGTTTAAATGATTCGCTTCAGTCGCAATGACTCACTTATTAACAGTGACTTGCTGCCACCTACTGGCGGTTTTAATTTCACATTTAAAGTATCTTTTGATTTTTTTTTCTTAGAATTTCAAATGAGTATTCAACATTTTATGTCTTATATATCCAAACATTATTTCTGCATTTGTAACTGCAGGTTAAATGCATTCATGTCCTGCATTAAACAGTGTGTAAACACATCTAAATGCCACTTCAGACACAGCTTCTGTGTTTCCTCTGCATTGAAAAGATGAATTTTGTTGATACTGATTTAATCTGCCTGGTAACAGCCCAAATGTCTTATTATTCTAAATAACTGATTCCTTTAATTAAAAACAACTAGTTTGAGATTTATAGGCCTAGGTCCAACCCTGGTCCAACACACATAGCATGTAGTTTTCAAATAAGCCTAAATGATTAGATGAGCTGGATCAGATGTGTTTAATTAGGGTTATATCTAAACTGTGCAGGGCTGTGGAGTTTGACACCCGTGACCTATCCCATTTTTGCCTCCCTCCCACTGTTAAAATGTAACCAAGTCATTTTTACTCCGAGTAAATTTTAAATGAGCTACTTTTTACTTGAGTAGATTTTTAAACTGGTACTTTTACTTAAGTAAAATTTCATTAATGTAATGGTAATTTTGAGTAGAATATTTTCGTACTCTTTCCACCTCTGGGTAAGACTGGTTTCCGCAGTCATTACTAGAGTTATTAATGTAAAAAATTACATTTTTACATTTCATGAGCAGAATTTGTGCATGCATGTGTTTGCTGTGGAGTTGTGGTGACCGTCCCATTAAGCCATGAGAGCAGATCTGCAGCACAGACGGGTCTACCACTGAATCACGCACGTACCTTCTCTTTGGCTCGCAGCTCATCAAACATGTCCTGGATCTCGAGTTTCCAGTCCTCCTGGAGCGAATGGAAGGAGTCCTGCGGCATCTCGTCCTTCACCTGTTCCTCCAGAGCCGTCAGCTGCTGCAGGATGGAGGAGAAGCTGGGCCGCCGGTGCGGATCCTGATCCCAGCACTCTGACGCACACACACGCACACACACACACACACGCACACACACACACACACACACAGCGTTAGATGATTCTGACTAATTACACACCATACTGCATCGCTCACTGCACATATTCAGCTCAATATTTCTACTCCTCTTCATTTGCACTTTCTCCACCTCAAACCTTGCACTCTTCTACAGAAACATAATATTTGATATATACTAGGGCTGCACGATAAATCGCATGATCAGCATCAGCTCATTAAACACTCGAATATTTATCGCAGCTCACAAAACCTCAAACTTACAATGCACGATTACAGAATATTAAAAATATGCTATGATAAAAGCTGATGATGTTCAGGTGTTCAAACGGTGTGGTTTACATTTTATCGTCTCATCGATATGACAATTTTTCTTAATTAAGTGGTATTAAATTTACATTGTTTACAATATGCTTTGATATGAATATTACAGCATTTAAAAGCTCAAAAAAGGCTTTTCATGTCTGATTAATTATAACCGCTATAAAAGTTCATACGGTGCATTTAATGCATGGTAAACAAATTAGTACAGTATTTTGCAGCTGTTTCCTGAGCTTTCTGACATAAAATCACACTATTTAAAAGTGATTTTATGACTCTTTCATTAGTGCATGTAATACATTATTTATCAGTGCACTGAGTTGCGTTGTGAATTCAAAACTTTCGCTTACAAAAACATCAAATTGTACCCTTATATAAAATTTGCCTAAACGAAATGGCTTTTCTTTTTAGTTTCAGCTAACGGCTACTTAAAGTCATGTTGAAGTCTGGGATGAAATGATAACTCGTTATGACTACCAGTGCTTGAGTAAAATATGATTTGTTCAGGCTCTTTCATGCAGTTCGACACTCTAGGACTGAATTTCCCTTTTCATCAGAGCTTCATGTTTAGCTCCTGCTTTCAGACATTATTAGGCAATTATGTAACAGCGGCAGTGAGTTAATCATACGATCTCTAGTAGTGGGTTTACTGGTAATTCCTGAAGTCTATTAACTGCAATAACCACGACTCATCAACATCAAGAATAAAGCCTCAATGACAGCATGTACAGTTTGTTACGCAGCGCTTTCAACCTCGGAAAACTTCATCATTCAGCATCTTCTGTGTATTTCTGCAGTGCAAGAGAAAGCAATGGTTGCCAGGTTGTGGAGAAAAATTAAACGCAGAGCTGAAAATAATGAGATCATCAGCACTTTGTCCAAAGCGTAAGAGAGAGTGTGTTAATGGTTGCCAGGTTGGGAAGAAAATGTAAACGTTGGGTCGTTTTAAGAGAAAAGCTCTGATTGGGGGATTTAAACTTTTGAAATCTGGCAACCGTATGAAAGCTCATGAAGGTATATATCATTTCCTCCTTTTTTGCTGAAGAAAATATAGAGACATTTTGAATGCAGAGCGTATTTTAAAACTAAAACATTTTAGTCTCATGTTTTTCCATCCATGACATTGCCTTAAGTTGCATTATGTTTAATGATGTCAGTGTGGTCTCGTCTTCATCATGGAAAGAAGGTCGAGTATTTTTGGCCATAGCTTCTGTTAATGAAGTGAGCACTGATCTCACCTCCAGATGTCGCTGCCCTTGGAGAAGGTGGATGATTTGATGACCTCCGGTGCCATCCAGGCGTAGGTTCCCGCCGTGCTCATCTTCGTCGTCTTGTGCCACTCGCGCGCCAGACCGAAATCTGTGATCTTCAGGGTTTTACCCTCGATGCTGTCCTTCTCCACAGGCTCCGCCAGCAGAACTGACACACACACACACACACACACTCGCTCACACACACACACACACACACACACACACACACGCACACGCACACGCACACGCACGCGCACGCGCACACACACACACAGAGAGAGAGACAGACGTCAGAAATACTGTCTCTATAATGTTTTCCCTCTGAAAACAATGTGCCATCGTACAAACACAAACCACAGTAGCAGCAGACACATACAGATATATATATAGATATATACACACACACACTCTCACACACATATATATATATATAGATATATACACACACACACTCTCACACACACACATATATATATATATATATACATATATATATACACACACGCACACACAGAGATATTTATATATATATATATACACACACACGCACACAGAGATATACAGTATATATATATATATTAGGGCTGCCATCGTTAACGCGTGCGATTCATTTTACAATCCTTAACGCATTAAAATAATTTAATGCAATTAACGCAAAATTACTGAAGCACAATTTCTATTCTAACCCTTTAACCCAATGTTGCTTCTCTGCTTGCGATCAGATCATTTTAAGCCGCTAAACTGCGGGAGAGTTTTCAGTCCACTGATCCAGTAAGCGAATGCATTCAAACAATCCGTCTAAAACAGCGCTAATATACAGTAAACCAGGCTGATTACATCAGAGATTTACATTTAGTCATTTAGCAGATTTTTATCCAAAGTTTTATATTATTTAGCTTTTATCCAAAGCGACTTACAAATGAGGACAATAAAAGCAGTCAAAACTAACAAAAGAGCAGCAACATAAGCGCAAATGACAAGTCTCGGTTAGCCTAGCAAGCATGGGCGTAGCATAGCGATTAAAGAATTTGACTAAATATTTATTTATAACGTTTTCTCTATGAAGTAAAAATGCATATAATGTAGTTAATAATACATGTAAAAGTTAATACGTAAAAGTTAATACATTTTAAATTGTTGTTGCAAGTAAATTAATAAATCAAAACAAACGTAACGTCTCCCTCAATCTCATTTGCGTAAGAATTGTCACGTGACGGGTCTGCATTTTGGTGGATGATAGACTTAACGGTAATGCTTGCCTGTTGTGTGGAATAAAATGATGCTCCGCGTTTTGAACAACATACACGAACTGCAGAGAAATCTGGATGAAGATATTAATGCCGTGCTTGATGATTCCGGACCCGGACAATCAGATAAAGGTGACGCAGCCGGTTTATCCGCACACTACTTTTATGCCGACCATTTACATCCAAATGTTATTTAATTTTCACAGAACACAACCTTTAAATAGATTTTAGAATATAAACTGTTTATCGTCTATTCAGTAAGACTAAATAAAAAGTGTGTGCCTCATTGCGCATTAACTTGAATCAAGCCCAATACATGTCTGTTTTAAAAACAGTGGACGAGTAATTCACTCCTTGATTTGCTTAATAAAAGCCTCCTTT